ATACGAGGTGTGATCAAAAAGAAACGAGAATTGTAATTTTCTTCAAAAAGTATTAATTTATTCATCAATTTTTATACTGTCTCCTTCAAAGTAGTTCCCCTATAATACAATACACTTCTGCCAACGTTGTTTCCAACTTGCAAAGCACTGTTGAAACGCCTCTTTATGTATTGCCTTCAGCTCGGCCAGCGATTTTTTCTTTATTTCCTCTATCGTTGAAAAACGTCATTTAGGGGTCCTTTTGAGTTTAGGGAATAGGAAAAAGTCACAAGGGGCCATTTCTGGAGAATAGGGAGGCGCGGCATCACAGTGGTTTTGTGTTTCGCCAAGAACTGCGTGATAATTAATGCGGTGTGTGGCGGTGCATTGTTATGGTATAAATCCATGAGTTTTCTTCCCATAATTCAGATTGTTTTTTTCAGATAGATTCACGTAAATTGCTCATAACTTGTGAGTAATACTCTTTATTAACTGTGCGACCTGTCGGTAGAAATTCAAAGTACACAATTCCATTATAGTCAAAGAAAAGGGTAAGAAGAACCTTATTCATGTTTGACTTCACTTGACGCGCTTTTTTCGGTCTCGGCTTCTTAGAACACTTCCATTGCGATGATTGAGCCTTTGCTTCGACGTCATAGCCATACACCCACGTTTCGTCACCAGTCATAACACGTTGGAGTAATTCTGGGCCATTAGTTTTTAACACAAAATTTTAAATGAATTTCTTGTTCCGACATGTTGCCACATATCAAGATCGCAGAATACTCTCAAGAGCGTCTTACTTAATGGCTCACCGAAAACAAACTGAGGATCGCACCAGTCTGAAACTTGGTGCGTACTTCACTGACAGTACTAACTTGAAAAAAAAACATTTAACCAAATCGATACACTACAATGCGCGCAATTCAAAAATTCTCGTTTCTTTTTTATCACACCTCGTATTTTCGTGATTTATGTAAAAACATTTTTTTCTGGATATTTATGTTTCAATTATAGAATATAACAATTTTACGACTATTCTTCTAAACCACGGATGCCCAATGTCCGGCTCGTGCAGCCTTTCAATCCAGCCCGCACCCGCAATCGTATTCCAAAATATAATCGTATTCCAAAAAAAATTTTATGTGAGTAAGGGGCTCCGCACAATAAAAGGAGTCATGTTGTGAGAATCCATCGAAAATACAAGACATAGTAAAGTGTAATTTAAATTTGTATTAAAACTTAATATAAAATTTTCTCAGTGTATCTTTTTGCGAAAGTTTCATCGTTTCTCATTAAACACCCTTTATATATATAATCTGAACTTGAATATATTTTGCTTTGCTACTGTAATTTTGATAGTTTTGATGGATAGTCTAGAACGGGTGAATTAGTTAGTCCGAAAGGCCACATTTCAAATTTTGACTATTGCCCGCGAGCCTTCCCGCCGCGCTTTAAGAACTCCGCAGAATAAAAGGAATAGAGAACAGAGAACAGAAAATAAGAATATCAACCTATCAGAAATTGTGTATTCCGCAAATCATAATATCTGATAGGTTGAAATTGTTATATTATGTTTTAATACAATTTTAAATTACACTCTTTACTATGTCGTGTATTTTCGATGGACTCTCACATGATTCCGACTTAACTTTTACTATGGTAATACTAATTTTTATCACATAAATAAAGTAATTATTTTGTTAAGCCATATTCTAACATGAAAACAGTTAATTTTTACTATGGTACGCAAACAAAATTTGCTAGGTATATTTGATTTTGTAATAAAAAATTTTTACTATGAAAAAGTGTAAAAATTACGTTATATTATTGTTTTTAAAAAAATAACTATAGCACTTAAACTTATAATTTACATGAAGACCGCAGCTACTATATTACATTATAGTAATTTTAAATATAAAATTTTCTCCGTATAGAATGGACTGAGTCGAAAAGTCTTGTACCATTTTACAATTCTCGCAAAAGTTAACAAGATATTAATTACTAAATATCGCTGAATATTGATTTTCGATCATTTTTTACTGGAATATTATCAACTTTACAAAAAACATCAAATGACAAAAATTGTTTATTTTTCTTCGAGTTCTTTTTCTCGAGAATTTTTTCAGAATTTTGTAGTACCATATTTCTCATGTTGGTAAAAATAGTTGGCAATAAAAAAATTCATTACTAAATAATTAACAAAAAATTCTGAAAAAATTCTTAGAGCTCTGTGAGAAAAAAATAAATAATTTTGGTCTTTTGCTGTTTTCCTGGGAAGTTGGTCGTACTTGAGTAAAAAATTATTAAAAACCAATATTCGGTGATTTTTAATAATTGACGTTTGTTAATTATTGTAAAAATTTCAAAATAATGAAGTACTTTTCAACTCAGTTTAGTCTCTCGTTTAGTAACTCGTTACCGTTACTGTTCTTTTTCCTAAAAAATAACTCGTTCCTTGTTATTGATTTGCGAAAGTAACTCGATACTGTTATCGTTATTATACTCAAAATACAACGAGTCTTTACTTTTTTGTTACTTTTCTTTCTTGACACTAATAGAATATTATATGCAGCGTTACGTCCAAACCCTTGGAAGTTTAAATTTAGGATTTGATTGGAGAGAAAAGGGATGAAATTGGTAAGAATATTAGGAAGGACACTTAACTCTCACAGCTATCCGCACAGAGGCGAGTATCCCGAATCAAACGCACTTATTATCGCTTCGGAATATGGGTCAACGTCCCTCAGGGACGCTATAACACCAGTTTCCGATGAGCAGTGCGGTCCAAATTTCAAGTCAAGGAATCTAATCCTTATAACTCGGGACTGGACTACGTGCAATTTCTGAAAAGCAAGGGGGTAAGGACTACGAGGTCTCAGGTTTTTAAATTAAGAGAAACAGTGATTTTAAATTACTAAACATTGTTTATTATTAATAGAATGTTATTAATTATTAATAATCTATTATTAATTTGTTATTGTCTATTGAACAAGTTTCAAATTAATACAATTACAAATCGAAAAAAATTAGAAATTAATGGAATTATTATTAAATAATTTACTAATTATTACATGTCTATTGAACGCATCACAAGTTTCAAATTAATATAATTACAAATCGAAAAAAATTAGAAATTAATGGAATTATTATTAAATAATTTACTAATTATTACGATTACAACAAAAATACAGAAAAATTATAAATTAATGAAATCATTTAAAGCTAGTTTACATATTAGTGTCGTCACAGAATAAAATTACGGGGTGAGCAGTGCTGGTTTTTAATCTATCTCTCGTATAGTAGCGGAGGAAGGAGGCTTGTAAAAGAATTTCATCATTAATTAAATAGGAATAGGCGGAATTCGGAAGAAATACTGGAATGAGCGAGTGAGGAAGTTGGCTGGTAATAGCATGTCTAATCTCGTGGGAATCAAAATAATTGGGCCCGATCGTAAAAGTATCCTCAGGGGGAAATTCGGTGGAGTGAGGGAATTGTCTTATGAGTGACTCAAATGAGTCACTCTCTTGTATAAGGAAGTAGGATCTTGATGATGGTGGAGGAATTTCCTTTAGGAATTCCACGCTGTCCGTAGAGCTTGTCGGAAATGGAGTTTCTCTAGGAGAAACTGGGATCGAGATAACGGATGAATCAGATGTGGATGGCGGGGTATCTGAGAAGATTTGCAAAGTTAAGGCGTTTGAAAACGTGGGGGAATCAGGTATTGAGACAGGAGATGGAGAAGGTGAGCAAGAAAATGACCGGGGAACAGCTACTATAGGCAACGACCGAACTAGAGAATGCGGTGGACCCGTTGGTACCGGCGGAGCTTGTGATGATGAAAATGGTGGATGAACGTCCTCAACAGGGTCTGCTGGATTCTGAGAGTTGTTCGCATTCTCTAGATATTTCGCGTATGCCTCATCCAGAAATCTACGCGCTTTCAAATAAGCTCGACTCCGAAGTCAACTTCTGTACGGGCGGTTTGGTTCTTGAATGTGGCACTATATTTGTCAGATACGTTAAATTGAGGTTCGCGGAGAATATAAAAGAAAAAGGGGACTTACTGTTCTGGTGGCTTTGTCTCCTGATTGTTTGGTGGCCTTGTCTTCTTGAAATGATTGTCAGCCCGATCTCAGTGGGACTCAGTGAGGATCTTTAATTGTGTACTTTCGATTTAAGAACTATATATATGACACGAGACCGTGCATAACTAACTGACTGAAATATAAAACCGACTGACAGAACTGACCGACAAGTATAATTGACAACCTAGTATCCGGAAAAAGATTGAAATAGATTGAAATAGATTCATTTGGTCATTGCTGTGTGAATCTAAATTCTTGATTTTTTCAATCCATTCAATGTTTGAATCTATTTTAATCCATGACTTGGAATTGAAACTACGGGATTCCTATTCCTTTCAATCAAAAAAAAGTTTTACGGAAAAAATGAGTCATGCAATTCATTTTAATCCATGACTTGGAATTGAAACTACGGGATTCCTATTCCTTTCAATCAAAAAAAAGTTTTACGGAAAAAATGAGTCATGCAATTCATTTTAATCCATGACTTGGAATTGAAACTACGGGATTCCTATTCCTTTCAATCAAAAAAAAGTTTTACGGAAAAAATGAGTCATGCAATTCATTTTAATCCATGACATAGGCTCGAATGATGTAATTCTTATTCTTTTTAATAATACAGGTTTGAGAGCTTTAAATCCATTTTTGTCCATAATACGAGATTAGAAGAAAGTGACTCTTATTCTTTTCAATCCATCTTAATTTACTGGGATAATCATAGAAAAGCATTGATACAAAGATATTTGAATTCATCTGAATCCATGAAAATCACGACGTATTCGAATAGGATCCTACACATGAATAGAAAATGTTATAGAATAGGAAATCTAATCTCTTATTATAGACAAAAATGGATTTAAAGCTCTCAAACCTGTATTAGATTAAAAGAATAAGAATTACATCATTTAATTTGTTTCTATCCATATGGATAGAAAATTATTCAATTTTACCACATTCAATTCCTTTCTATCCATATGCATGAATAAAGAATTTTGATTCAAATGAATTAAAATAGATTAAAATTTTTCAATTTATTTCAATCCGTTTTCTGATACTGGGAATATAAGAGACAAAAATAAGAGCAAAATAAGATACAAAATAAGAGATAAAATCAGAAACAAAATAAGAAACAAAGTCAGAAACAAAATCAGAGACAAAATAACAGACAAAATCAGAAACAAAATCAAGGAGCTAGTCTCGCAGTGCCACGGTTTATATAAGAGTCCTTTAGAAGGTGGATATTTAATGGGATGTGTTAAGTTGGGAAATCAAGAATTCGGGTTGATGGGATTTTTCCGCTATAGGTAGAAAATTTGTTTCCCGAGTTATTACTGGGGAACTAATTCTAAAACTGCTCCACCCACACTACAAGTTTTAATCTTTTGAAAACTTATTGGTAATACGTCATCACCTTCTCTAAAGGTTTGGGATTTACACAGTCATCTACTGGCGGGTTTAGTTTAACCTTCTCCATTTTTAAAGTACATGTGTATTTTTTTAAGATTAAAACAAAAAAAACTGAAAAGAAGCATTTGATTTAACCAATAAAGAGAGAAGAATAATTATTAAAGTGAAAAATGAAGGACAAACATAACGAGAAATTACTAGATTTTTTAATAAAGCACCGGCAGCTATTTTTAAGATAGTCACATAAGAATGATGGACGAATTTCAGCTGCACCAAAATCATGAGGACGTTCAAAAGTCACTAATGTTTGAATAGATAAAAGAATAGTGAATATCTCGTCATTAGATCCTTTTTTATCTGCACCCAAAATACGTTCAAAGTTATTAAGTAAAGGTGACAATGCCAAACAAAATTAACAAATTAAAAAATATATTTTAAAGATATAACAACATAACCTCAATACATCAAAATGATTGCTACAAACCCTATGAATTTATAATATAACACAGATAATATAAAATACATTTCAGGAACAAAATATAGAGCAAAAACTCAAGATGTTTACTTACTTTTGTAACTCCTGTAAGTACTGTATTCTAATGAATCTAATATAACACTGTTAATAGACAAAACAAATGTTTGAATAATATATGAAAAACATTTGTTTGAATAATATATTACTCATGTTTTTCATAATTGGCTATCACCATTGCTAGAATATCTAACTTCAAAATTTAGAAAAATCTATTCAAAATTGAAAACATTTATATTTACTTACTTTTGTTACATACTGTATATCAATGATTAAGAATTTCATTCGTAAATATTTGTCTACTCAATTCGGTTAATTATCAAAATGGAATCATTTATCGAGTAAATATTCATATGGAATTTTTAGGAAACGTAATAATTCGGCAAAATATTCTCGTGATATGCAATTTTATATAGCTATTTTTTTGGTAATAAAGTTGGAAATAAAGTGTTACTTGTAATGCCGTTACTGTTACCTTTACTTTTCCTACAATAACAATTTGATAACGATCTTACAATTTATCATTTGCATTTTTCATGATGGTAATGATAACGTCAAAGTTGGACAAATCGTATAAAAAGTAATTCGTTACTAATGAGTTACATAACTAATTAAAGTAATGCGTTACTTTTATGTGAAGTGTAAAGTAATAAGTTAATTTTTTAATCAGAAACACTTTTAATAGTAACAAGTTTTCTTCAAAAGTGACTTTCTTTAGCGTTATCGTCATGGAAAAGAAGTTGTAAAATAAATACAAAATTGTTGCTATAAAAAATAATGGTAATGCGAAATCTACAATAAGAATCATAGACGATCTTGGAATCTTAAGTCGTAGGAAATTGATCAATTAGATTCAAATACGAGTAGAATAATCGATTATAATTGATTAATTTTCTATGACTTCAAACCTCACAACCGTCTACGATTCCTATAGTACAACCGGCTGCATTACGTGTTACATCCCATTCTTGGTTAAAACAATATGAAACATCGCATTGGAAATTATTGTTGTGCGTACTTTTAAGTATATTAATATGTAAAAAATCGTAAATTTGCGTATATGAGTCATTTAAAATCATACATAAAATATATTTATTAAGCGGAGGATACATAATATTAACTGTGTATGAAATGGAACCCAGAGTATTGTATCGTAATTAGATAAATACGAAAGAGAAGGAAAGGCATGCCGCTATCTTAGTAGCGAAAATAAACGTGCAAATAATAAAATTTGTGAATATAATGTACAGTATAAAAGTAATCTAATAAAACGTATATGATATACGCGCTAATACGTTTCAACGGTTATTTTCAATGAGATAATTGGGAGAAGTATACTCTCTCCCAGTGATCTTCGAAGATTGCGGTTTCATGCGTATCGTAGCGAAATTCATGAAGGTGTGATAGGCTATATTCGCCGATGTAGTATTAAATGGTTGCGATTAGGTAGAAAAGACTGTGTTTCGGAAATTAGTTCCGAGTTGACGAGGAAAGTAACTAATGCCTGTGATTATATCTTTAATCACGTCGTGTTGCTTTAAATAAATAACGTGCAATTAAAACTGAAAAAGTAACTACTGTTTCACATTAGAAAATACATACGTCGCAAAATGTGTGCCTATACAGGGTATCCCATAATAATCGTCAAATATTTCTTGTGCTGGTATAGAGAGGACCAAATTGAGTCGAAAAGTTTTCTACCATTTTGCAATTTTCACAATAGTTAATAAGATATTAATTACTAAAAATCGCCGAATAATGGTTTTCAATAGTTTTTTTACTTAAGTAAAATTAATATTATTAATTGATTTTTTCTATCGAATCTTATTCAATTTAATTGTTAAATAAATTAATTAACAATATTAATTTAGATACAATACATATATTTACAGTTTGTGTTTTCTAATTTTCCAAATTAGAACTGAATGTATGTATTAGGAAGTTACAATAAGAAGTTTTAGAACTGAAATTCTGCGTGTTTATAAATTGCATTTAATTGGATTCTAAATCCCAATTTAAAAAGCCTCGATATTTCTCATCATCTTCTCGATGTTTTCTCTTATCTTAATTTATTACTCCGCTTGTTATTTTAAATCTATCCCTGTATAGTTACATTGCTCCCTGAACAGTTTGGATTGATCGATGAACGCGAACTTCCCATTTGAAATTGCACAAGTATTACCAAATATGTTATTACTGTGCCAGTTAGCTGAGAGAAATAATCAAAACTATTACTTTAAAAAACTTAATTTATATTAAATTATTTACATTCTAATAATTCTCACCGAATGAAGAAAAGTATTATCGAGCGTAAAGTATCCGTTAGCTGTAAACTGTATTTCGCGATGTAACAATTGAAGCGAAAATTCCTTGAGCTGAAACATATCTATGATAAATATCGTTACGATGAGTACCGTTTTGGAGAAAGTTTTATCTAATTTTGTATTTTACCTCTGCTTTTGTCTCTTTCCTGATTGCACAGTTTAAAACATCATGCACTACATTACCCGTTTTCTTCATCTACAATAAATTAGTAATTGAAATATTTCATAAACTATTTGAGATTTTATTTAATGACAAAAATGTTTTGTTTCATCGATTAAAACGATCTAATGCGATTTCATTATATTGATTATTCTACCTCGATTAAAATCCTGGTAATTCTGTTGGTGAGGAGAAAAATGGGATAAATCCGAAATATTATCCAAACGATTTCATAAATCATAGAAGAATAATTTAAGTTTAAGAAATCATCAGTCATCAACAGAATCCACAGAAAACGGTAACCATTATATATGAGTGACAGAAAGAGAAAACCGATGCTGAATAATACTGGTAGTGAATAGAAACTCGACACATCCTCAGAGATTTCACAAAGATGACAATGCACATCTCGCAGTTGCAACAGTTGATGAACTGTCGAATTGTTGACTACGATACGCTTTTGATAGAGAGACTGCAGTCGAAGATCAGGTATAATGATTCTGGTGAAGCTTTGTATCGCTCGATTCACATCAGCGAAATCTGTCTGAATGACCGTCACCAATAGGAAGTACTGTATCAATAGCCAACCCACCTGAAATGTCGGCAAAATGTCTATCAGCAATGAGCTTGTATGAGCGATCAGAATCTTAATGAACAGGAGAAGTATCAGAATGCAAATCTTCAAGATGCAAACAAGAATCATAGTGCAGAAGATACGCTGTCGTCGTAGCGGATGATATAGATCATACAGACGATCTATCTGGTGCTCGATGGTGATTAATCGATTGGCGATCCGCACCAAGGACTTCTGATTGATACAGTAGCTAATCAAAGTCACGCAGCTCACCAGGGCACCTAGTATAGTTTGCAAAACCTCGATGCCTATAGTCACATTCGTCTTATTCTCATAGTCCAAATTAGTTCTGAATGATATAGACATACAGTTCAAGACTATCATTAAGCTACTCAGCACAACATTGTAAGCGATTCCTAATTTGCAATATTGAAATGTGTATGACGTTCTCTTTTTGTATATGACAATTCGGTGCGCGAATGTAGCGAGACCGATAAGCTTGAAGAACATTATCAATATTCTGAACGTCCAAAATAAATCGTGATGTAGCTCTGATTTTATTTTGTTCACTTGCTGTTCACTATCTTTTTCCGTAATAGAATTTTCTTTATTTATATTTCTAATGGAATTGGAGATTTGAATGACGTTCGTGAAAGTAGAATTCTTGGGCGAAGACATTTTTGCAATGGCTATCTTCTTCCTTAATTTTTTAATTCTTAGTTAATCTCTACTTCTTTTCTTCATAAGGTCAATTTATCCATATGGCCTTGTATTTCATGATTTATAAATATTTACTTTAGGAAACTTTCAGTTCAACCTTCTTAATATTTTTTTTTCCAAGACATTTGTATATAAAGTTTTTTTTTTAATTTGTATACTTTAAGTCTTCTTTACTAAAACGTTTCACGCATACATCGTTCATAAATTGATAATTTAAGAGGCGTCCGTTTGATTTTATTGATATCTGTCTTTCCAATTGTTCTGAATCCAAGTTAATTACGACCGTTTGAACGTCGTATACAACTAATTGTGAGTTCGGTAAATATTCGCGTATATTCTAATTAACGTTGCGCTTTATAATTCGTACGAAGTAGCACTGAGCATTTAGCGATGCTTCCGCAACTACCTTTCTCGCAAGCATCACGTATGGAAAACATTATTAAATATTAAATTTGTGAAAATCATAAATGCGTGATAAGGATCATAATGTCAATAATTGAGTTTCAGTCGACACGGATCCTACGATGGAAACAGACGAGTTTTACGGTATTATTATTAGAACGATATCAACTGGAATATTTATCAACTGTATATATGACATGATATACACACAGCCGAGAATACGTTCTTTGTAATTTCTCCAACTGTAATGCTAGATAATCATAGTAGACTATTGTTATTTTTTATTATCTTCCCAGCTATAGTACTGTCTGTAAAATCCTGCAACTTTGTTACGCTGTATCTCTGAACTGAATACGTATTTGTTAGCTCAATACGTGTGAAAATGCCCAAAAGTCAGACAGATCAACATGAATCAAATAAATAATATTTTATTATCATTTAATCTCAATGCTTTAAAAGAAATTTTATTGGAAAATTTCGCAAAAAAATGACCATTTTGAATAAAAAATTTTCTAATATTTTAATTTAATGTGCAAGCAAAAATCCGTAGGATTTTTTTACTTGACTCTTTGGACTAAAAGAAAAATAGTACAATATGAATGGCTCAAAAAAGTATAATTATTTGAACTATCGAAAATCGACACATTTGAAAAATGTACATATTATAGGTTTACAGTTAATAAATAAAATTTTATTATTTAAACAATAAAAAATGTTAGATAAAGGATTGTACATGTATAAATATTATTCTATAATAGTACATATAATTAAATTTATTGGGATTACTTTAGAGAATGATGCAACACTCGTTCTAAAGAAATACATCTACGCCGTAAATTTTGTAAAAAACATTTGTTAAATATATACGACTGATAGTTACACTTGTGTAAATGATTGTGCACTTCCCAATTCATACGGATAAGACTGATACCAAGTTACAGCGACGCAGCGACAGCGCATTATACTTGATTGGTCACTTAACGGCATGAGCAGGGTGATAATTCCATTCGTGACAGGAAGGGAGGAAGAGAAAAAAAAAACCGCGGTTTCTATTTTGGTCATACGGGGACACATCTTCTGTATCTTCTCAGTTATGTAGGTCAAACAGAGTGGCGATCATTAAGTAGTAAGTGACAACAACATGATACCTTACATTTTGATCGTGAATGACAGATGTTCCGGTCATAACTTATAACCTAACCACGATCGTATTCCTGACCTAACCACTATCTTACTCCCGATATAACCACGACTTTGCCACCAACCTAACCACGATCCTACCCCCGACCTACATATATTATTGCCTACAGCTGGATTGCATACAAACACTTTTGCACACAAATATAAAATTAAAGTTAAGTAAAATAATAAATATTTTGTATTGACAAAAACGGAAGCAGTTCTGTTCATAAGAATGCATGTTCATAATGGTACTCTCGAGTACCAAAACATGTACAACAGTACAATTATAGAAGTTGTGCGCCCCTTTGACGCTTCGCGTAGAAACAGATGAAAATATAAAATAGTATTTAATGGCAAATAAAATGCATGTAAGCAATAAAACTGTAGGCAATATGCTTATAGGCAATCGAACTGTAGGCAATAATACTGGTAGACAAAAGTAATTCCGTTTCTAAAATTTTTATTTGTGTCTAAGAGTGCTTGTAAGCAATTAATGATCTGTAGGCAATAACGTGTAGACAATCGAACTGTAGGCGAAAGTGATGTAAGCGAATGATACTGTAGACCAGAATGTGCTCGGAATTAGTTGCTCATTTCGGGCAGATTCCTGAGGCGACCCTCACTATCACACGAAACTCGGCGGCTGAGCCACCGATCGCTCACGTGACACTATGCCCCAGGAGCGTCGCGATAAGTATACGAAAAGTATACTGGGATCATATCTTTCCGGCAAATATCATTAAAATATTTTCTTTTCTACGTGATTTTTATTTTAATAAATAATTAAAATAAAT